AGTTTCTATTTGTGGAAGGGAGGGGGGTGGGGTAAAAAGGTCAACTCTCATGACGTGGTAGCTATTTAGGGCAAGTTCCTCCACAAGCAAACCCTAAATTTTCGACAAGTAATTAATTAACTATTTAATTTTTTTTAAAAAAAAGTAATTAAATCTTTAGATTATTTGCCATATGATGACGAAGTAAAATCTTTTTTTTCTCTATGTTGACGCATTAATAATCTTAATTTTCTTCTTAAACAAAGATTAGCGAACATACGACGGCCGCTTAGCAGACTAAAATTACGATTTTGCTTTGAAATTGCAATTTAAAAAAATTGATTAGTCAAAGTTAATAGAGACAGGTGGCAAGAGAATTTGATCAAGACAATCGACATCATCTTGTTAGTAATGTGATTTTCTCTAAGATTTCATTAGTAATTTTTAATTAGCAGTTTATGAGATTGAGTTGTCTCGTAGACACCAAATAGGGAACACAAGATGAAGATTACTATCATCTCAATATAAATAAATAATTTGCATGTACTACTTACGTATATTTTCTTTTATGCATTAATAAGATTTCGAAATATACAACTAAATAGTATAGTAGGAAAATGGAGATAAAATTAAGCAGTTTTTGTTGAGGCTCACTTCTTTATATAACTTTAAATAATTCTGCTTTATAAATTAGCTTTTGAGATTGTTAATTAGGCTCAAAGTCCAAATCTAGTAATGATATTAGAATCATCTTGTTAGTTGTCGACCTTATTACAAATAGCAGTTTCAAATTACTTATTAAGTTACGAAATTAAGATAGACTTAATTAATATTTATCATTTACCCTTTCTATAATTTTTTTTAAAAAAATAGACAAGTTTGTAAAGTTTCTCAAAGGGTAAATTGATAAAATCTCCTACTTATTTCCTTTTTTAAGAGTATCATGTATTCATGCTTTTGATATCCAGTCTTAACGAGTTTTTCATTAAAAAATGTCATTTGATATCTTGATATAATCTTCGATAATCCTGACGATAAATTTTATTATTGAGATTGAGTTAATGTCAATATCAATGTTCTTTATCACTTTTATGTTTTCTTCTAGAACAAATGATTATTATTATTACTTTATACTTAATGAATGAAGTGAAGAGGTAGACAAGGCAATTAAGCAAGCAAAGCCTCCAGATGTGTGTGTGGTGGGTGGAAGGTTTTGATTATTATTTTTTTTTCATTTGCTGAAATGCTTGTATGAGTATGAGAAGGAAGTAATATTTGACGAAAATGTTTCGTTAGCTAAAAGTTTGATGAAAGAAATACCAGAAACTCAGCGGCTTTGAATTATAGGTTGCTTTAATTTAGGAGTGAGCCCAAAACATTACCTTTTGGACTGCTACAGTGGAAAAAATTCACTTTTTTTTTACGAAGTTATGTTCTATTTTAGTTTATATTTTCTCATTCGATATTCACATTTGAATTTTATAGGCTTAATTATAAGGATTATATCCTTTAGATATACTTTTTTCGTATTCAAATTAAAAGTCAAAATCTCTAATTAAGGGCTCGTTTGGATGGGCTTAGGAAGAAAGAAATGTTAGGGTTATATGGGTAATTTGGAGATTGTATAAAAATATTAAGCACAAAAAGATAAAAATGTGGTCAACTTAAAATAGCTTATAAGCTAAAAAAAAACACTCCTACCCCAGCTTTTAACTTTTGGCTTAAAATAATTTTTTTTAACTTAAAAATAAGCTGTTTTGAATATTGTCAAACAGCTAAATAAGTCAAAAACAAGCTTTTAAGTCAGTTTGACCACCTTTTAAGCTGAGCCAAACAAGCTCTAAGATCGAACAACTATATCACTCTATCACATTAGCCTATACAATACAAGAGCCTATACAATACAAGCTAGCACTTTTCGGCTTTTTCCATTTATTTTTTGTTTGACCATATAGCTTTAAATTGAGCAATTATTGCATTTTAACTTTTTCTTGTTTTCTTATTCTTCTTTTCTCACTATAAAAATTGTGCTGCCGGATTTAAATTTGCTTGTATCTTTCGAAGAAAAATGTCTTTTTTTCTTCTTTTGATCATATTTTAGTTTCAACGATTTAGTTAATATGTTTATAATAATAACATTAAATGACATATCAACTCATGCTACATATTTCAAATTTAATTCATCAAATTTGAAAGTGTTTTTTTTTTAAAAAAAAAGTAAAACTAGACAAATAAAATCAGTAAGAGCAATGAAGTATACCGCATTGCTGAGTGAAATAATAATTTATATACTTATTTATGATCTTAGACGATTTCTTTCTCTTTAACAAATTTTTGAGATTAAATTAAGCTTACCATGTTACGGTATTAGAGTCTTGATGAATCTTACTTATGCAATAATCAATATGACTTGAAAAGGAAAACGTGTGTTGTGAAGCAAGTGAGATTTCAAAATTGATATTGGTGTATATGGCATATCCTCAATATTTTTCAATAACTAAAAATGTCCACGATGGGGGCCACCTGTAATCTGTGGTTATGATTTGTATAAGCAGCTGTTTTTTTTAAAAAAAAATAATCTGATTAATCAGCATCGGTACAGTACTGGGACCACATAAAAAGAGCAGATCAGTTTTTGGTCGAAATTTATATTATAAAAATATGATTTTTTTCAGTTTGTTTTCCTTATTGAATCGATTCATTAAAAAATATATCAACATCTAATATAAATTTTAATTGTTATTAATTTAATATAAAATATTTTTGTACGAGAAAATAGTGATTTTTTTATATTTATATGGGGACACTTGTCCCTAGGATACATGTACGGTTTGGATTGGCCTGACCTCAGGACACGTCCTCAAAATACAAATTAAATTAAGTTAGCGTCTTTTACGTAAACACTCCAATTTCATATTTCCTGTAAATTAAAATTACTCATAAAGTTCACTGTTTTTGTTGTTTAAAACCGACTAATGGAAATATGTTCCTTCTGAAAATTGTGCTTCCTAGCTAGTTTTGAATTAGTGTGGAATTAAAAATAATCTATAGCATATTACAATACCTTTATAAGATTATAAAACTTTCTCATTAGTTAGACGGAATAAAAGTATAAACTAATTATTTTCAGCTTTAAAAAGTGTATCATTATTTTATATAAACTTATTTGAAAATTAAAAGAGCAAAAAGGGGGTTTTGTCATTATTTTATATTTTTATGTAATACTGTATAACTTTTTCTACTAACATATGTATATAGCTTTCTTTTCCATTTTTCTGGGGTCTGTTATATACCCTTTTCTCTGTTAGTGATTTTATTCCTCAATATCATAGTTGACCTTTTTGCTCTCAAAATATTTTTTTCAATCCTTCTATTTTATATTTTACAACCATGAGATCTCCACATTTTGGACATTCTAAATTTCAAAATGAAATATATAAACTATAGAGGATACAAAAAAGAAATGCTTTCCCACTGACGATTAAGAAGAAATTTAGAAAATCATTAACTCGAATAGCAATATTGAATATTACATGCTTTATTAACAGATTATATGATGATTTCAATAAAGAATCGAGAAAAGATAGGATATACCTAGACTTCGTTCTTAGTTTTATGGATTAGAAAAGTTACTTTAATAAACTCTAATTTAAAATGATTTTTTAAAAAAAAAATTGCATAAATAATACGATGACAAATTAGGAAGGTACAAAGCAAATACATCGGCAACACATGACAAAATACATCAAGAGACTATATATCCGAACACTAAATAATATTACTAATAAGGAGAGGAGGCTAACGACTAATCCCCTATTTCCTTAGCTTAAAATACAAAAACATTCGGCTAGCTATCTATTAACTTTCTATTCTAATTAATTAAATTGCGTCATATATTCTATATTTATCTAATTTACATCTTTTGTTGGATTATCTATATGTTTTCTTATCCGTACATCCTTCAATTCACATTAATTATTTCTATTTCTATACTATTAATATTATATCAGAACTTACACACTGGCTTCCTCCAAGGATGCATGCATGTCAAAGATTACAAATGACTGTAATATATTTTATTTCATTTTATTAATTATCAAAATTTTGTCTCTAAGATTAGGTCCTAATTAAGCTTCTAAAAAGTGACACGAAGAGGACTAACTGGACTGAAACAGATACGCTGACGATAGCCAACGTAATTTTTGAAATATTTTGTGGACTATACGTATCTAGAGTTTGAATTATGTTATTATTTATTTATTTATAAAATTCTGATAATATTGTGAAGAAAAACACTGAAACAAGTTAAAACCTTGACATTTTAATTGGTAGGGGAAATCTAACTACCGTACCGACTAATAATTCTTGGTTTGTAGACTTTGATGTAAAGGTCAAAACCATTAGTTACTTGCCACCTGTCTCATCTCATTCATCCAAAATTTCCACATTTTTATTACTGTTCAGATAAAGTCTAAACACTTTTACAGTTGAAAAAAAAAAGAAGGAATAGTTAGGAGTAATATCCTTTGATCAACTAATTTATCAATACAATAGAAGCATATATTACTTACATAATGAATTTGTATATATGTACGTACATTATAAACTGTACATATCTTATAAAGTAAATTGGTTGATCAAATAATTCAGATTCATAATTATTTTTAAAAAAATATATTATTATTTTTTCGTCCACTTGGATCACCGACTATATAAAAATAATAATTCTTCTGTCTCTATTAACTTGTTTACTTTTTCTTTTTTAATTATTCCTAAAAATAAATGACAAATTAATGAAGGATATTTCTTTTTAAATTGTTCCTAATTATTTGTCCATTTTGACAAATTATGAAAGGATATTTTTTTTACCTATTATATCCTCAATTAATTACTTAAAAAAAGATAGACCTTTTTGAGAATCTTAAAATTTTAATTAATCCACTTCATAATTATTATGAGTAAAATGATAAACTCACTATGTTAATCATTGTTTTCTTAATAGCTATGTTAATGCAAAAGTGAACAACTAATTAGGAACAGGGGAGTAGAATTTTTTATATTTAAAGAGTGATATAGTTAAATTATCAATCTATTTATTGTACTTTGAGAAATATGCTAAGAAAATATTAAATAAGTAAAAATGATACATTATTTTCAATATTCGATCACCTTAAGTAACTTTTGTACATTTCACTCTCAAGAGACAGCGTAGAAAGTGATTTGAGGCATTGACATACAACGAGGCCGGCGCCAAATACTATTGACTTCAATCTATTTTTCCCATCTATAAATATTGGTCTTCATCCTCTCAAGGTCCTACAAGTTCACTTTTGTTCTCTTAAAAGTTCTTTAAAACACTTAGCAACTTTTTAATAACATCTACAAGGAACAAAAAAACAAAACAAAGAAGCAATGGGAAGATCACCATGTTGTGATAAAAATGGACTCAAAAAAGGTCCATGGACTCCAGAAGAAGATAATAAACTCATCCAGTATATTCAACTTCATGGTCCTGGAAATTGGCGAACACTTCCTAAGAATGCTGGTAATTATTTTATCCATCGAGATTATCGATAGTTTTTCTATTGTTCTAAGTGTATATTATGAGTGTATATTGTGTATATATAGTACTAATGAAATGTTCATTTGTAGGACTTCAAAGGTGTGGAAAGAGTTGTCGTCTTCGTTGGACTAATTACTTGAGACCTGATATTAAAAGAGGAAGATTCTCATTTGATGAAGAAGAAACTATTATCCAACTTCATAGTGTTCTTGGCAACAAGTAAGCAATATATATATATATATAGTTTAAGTTGTTAGACAGAACACGTATTTTTAGTTTTCTTGAGTATTGACTTCTCAAAACTTATATGTGTGTCTTATGTTTGTCTTAGGTGGTCAGCTATAGCGGCTCGTCTACCAGGGAGAACAGACAACGAAATCAAGAATTATTGGAACACTCACATTAGAAAAAGGCTTCTAAGAAATGGTATTGATCCAGTGACTCATAGTCCTCGTCTTGATTTATTAGACTTATCGTCCCTTCTAAATTCGACCCAATTCAACCTATCGAGCTTACTTGGGCTACAAGCACTTATAAACCCTGAAGTCTTTAGTCTTGCAGCTACTCTTTTGGCATCACAAAATGAAATTACCCCAGAAGTGTTACTACAAAAATATCAAGAAAATAATCAAATGTTCAACTCTCAACTACAAAACCAAGAAGGGTCTGAATTGTTGTTACAAAAACTTCAACAAAATCAAATATTGAATTCCCAATTGCAAAATCAGACTCAATTTTTCCAATTCCAAAATCAAATTCAAGAAACACCAAATTTCACCACACAAAATGTTCCTTGTTCATCTTCATTGTCACGGCCAATGCAATTGGGACACGTGGAGGAATCTTATTTGATGAATGGCCAAATGCTACCTCCACAAAACTATGGTTATTGTAATTCTGATGCTTCTGATAATTCAAATTTCCAGTCACTCAACAACAACAGCAGCAATCAGAATATAAGCTTAGATTCAGTGTTATCGACACCCACGGAAGACGAAAAAGAGAGCTATTGCAGTAATTTGATGAAGTTCGAAATCCCAGAGAGCTTAAATTTTGATGATTTTATGTAAATATCGAACCACATTGTCCAAAATGTGTGTTTCTTTTTTTTTTCGTGTTTTTTGTTGTTATTGTTTTATTTGTTTACTAGGGACATTTGGATGGAACCGTTGTTACGTTTTTTTGTTTTTTTTTAGTATTTGGTGCATCCAAATTCTATAAGTTTGTAATGTTAGGTGGCTTTTGTTTTAGAATTTTATCTTTTTTATCTATACATACCAGTTGTGTATAATAATTTGTTTGTTGTCTTATTATATAGTTTCATTCATTTATTTTCAATGTAGCCGGTGGATTATATGCATATAAAATAAGTTTGAGGATTTTTTTTCCCTTCTAATATTGCTTAAGTAAGTTTCTTTATTCATTCATTTTCTTGTGTATTGTATCTTAAAAGATTTGAAATCAAAATTATGTATCTAGATAACCAACTATAATGACTTGATTATTATTTTATGATTTGCTGTGTTACATGGAAGTACGATATGTTAATGAGTGTTTTCTACCCTTTTTTTATTTTTTTAAAAAAAAGATAAATACAATTTGAGGAAACTTAGTTTTGAATAAATCCTGTGGTACTCTAATATTGAAAGACTAATACCCATTTAGTTCATCTTTACTTGTTCGATAATAAATTGATCATATTTTAAAAAATTATAAATAAAATGATAATTTTATTATATTAATTTTTAAATATAATCTAATGCTTTGAAAAATCTATTAAAAATGACTATAGATAATACTCATAAGGATAAATAAGGAATATTCATTACGTCTCAAAAGTCCACTAACTTTTAGAATATTTGTAAAGAAATTAAGGTATCAAATATTATTTTTGTCAATGGCTTAAAGCCACTATCCGACGTTCATAACAATCATATATCACTTCATTCTACGTTCAAGAAATATGTCACTAGCAATCTTCGAATCATGAAGAAAATTGAGTGATAAAAAAGAATCAAGACGTTACACTAACAAATATTCATACTAAAATCTTTGTTACATCACATTCTAATTTTATATTTTCTTTATCACTTCTAATATTTGTCGTAAACAATTTCATATCATCATATGTAGATTTAATTTTATTGGACAAGCCATGTGACACGTTTAAAATTTGTTATATTAATTAGCTACATCTCTACGCCTATGCTTGTCGCATAGCTCCCGTTTAACTTACGTAAAGGACCACTTCACTCCTCATAAGTTAGGACTAAAATTCAAAAATAATAATAATATTCTTCTATAGTTTGAACATACCTTAAAAGTGCATTTTTGTCTCAACATACACTTTTAAAAAAAAAATTCTTCAAGAAGCATGTGATAAGAAGAAAACGAGTAAAAATTGCGCTTTATATGGCTCAAATTCTTACACCATTTTTGTGCAAAAAGACGCTAATATTGACTCAATTTGTTACAAAGAAATTAATATGTAGTACTGTGAATCATTTTTCATCTTTGATAATTAGTGTCCACACACATTCAATATAGTTTCTGCGGTTCATAATGTTTTCTATTCAATGATTGGTAATTAGGTGGTATATTGAGAATTATTGAGATTCTCTTTTGCATAATTGAATGCTCGAATATTATAATTATTTTTATTATACAAGAAAATGGTCAAATATCACTTTTGAATGTTTCCAAATAATTCAGATGATCCATTAATTAATTAATATTACAAGTTACATGTGTTTTCTTGACTAACAACAAAAACTTTTACAAAAACGTGGAATGTTTTTACAAACTGATAAATTTTGCTTTTAAACGCGTAGTGGTAGAGGGAACTCTCTAGGATATATAGGTGGGTAATTATAGTCATATTTTGCATGTTTTAAAGTTTTAATGGAATTAAAAAAAATTCGTTCGTAAAATTATGATTTATCTAAATTATTTAAATTTAAATACTAATAATTATGTACATGGCGTAAAGTGTTACACAAGAGATTCTATTTTAAAGATTTTTAAAAGAATTTTTTTTTGGTTTAATTTTGTTATATATAATGAGAAAAAAATTTATTAATTAATCAAATTTTAGCTAATTTCAACATAATTTATTTCACCAAATACTTTTAATCCATTATTTATTGACTTAATCTATTTTAACATATCAAATTGAACTCTAATTTGCGCATTTGATATAATCTTATCTTCCAGCCGCCCTCGCAAATCACAATCAAAATTCATAACATAACATTGCATTGTTGGAACTTGGGATTTGCTTTAACTCTAAATTGCACATTTCATTAATCACGTAATATTAATGAGCAATCTCCATCAAAAGTACGAAAGTTACTTCTTCTGTCTCTATTTATTTGTCTATATTTTTTTTATATTTATTTTTATATATTTATCTATTTTAACAAATCTTGAAAGGATAATAATTCTTTTTCTAATATATCCTTATTTAATTTTAGAAAATTTCTGATACTATTAAGTTGCAATGCATATTTTTGGAACCAGAAAATACATTTATTATATTTGGAGCGTTACATAATCTTTAAAGTTAAGAATAAAATTATAACTAACCTATGATATAATTGATGCATTAATATATGTGTCACGTCTAAAATAGACGACTAAATAAGAACAAATAAAATAATAAATTTAGTATTGATTTTTATGAAATAAAGTTTACGTATTTAAATCACGGTTAAAATAGTATTGATCAAAATACTAAGTAAAATACGTCGTCTATGAAAAATTATTTTATATCTCAATAGTAATAAAAAATGAGGGATTATTTTTATTGGTTTACTTATAAAAGAGCATATCCTAGTCTATGGATTTGGTGGTGGGAAAAGTGGCATCATAGTTAAAGAAAATATAATCCAAAAATGTATTGTTTTATGTATCATTATTAATCTACTTCGTAGCTCCCGCAGTGTGCCTTACCTTATATAGTCGTCATGCTTATGTTTATTTTTCAATAGCTTGCATTCATATTACTGTTATGTTTCGTCACAATATTCGATTTAGATTTTGAGAGTTAAAATTAATTGTCTTTAAACACGAATAAATAATTTTCTAAACTTTTAAAAATAATATTCACATATTTAAAAGTTAGTTAAAAAGTACAAATAATTTATAATAACATAGCAATTAAAAATATTTTTAAAAATATATAAACAAATTACGATTTAAAAAATTCCTTTAGAATCTTGAAATTTTAGAAGTATCACATAAATTGTGATAGAGAGAATATTGTTTTTATTATTATATGCGGGAACAGGCAACAGACACACATACAAATTATATCGGGCGGAGCTACGTGATACACCCTTCGTTGGGGAGAAAATTAATGCATACACAAGCAAAATAATATTTAAAATGTTTAACTAACATATTTTAAACATTCTTAACGTAATAAAAGCATTGTCCACGAAAAAGTTCACCTCTGTAAAAAATTTCTATTGTGCAACTTTTAAATTTTTTTTAGTAAAATTTTTATCTCCGGTATTAAATTAAATAATAGAATAAATTATACGAGAGACAAAGTATTATTTTTGTAATTATATGCGGGACCAGTGCGGCTAATAATTATTTGGCCCGGATTTTCTTATATAACATCGATCCGCCTCCACCTGCTCCTTCTACAGTAGGAATCTTGCACCACTAATTTTTATTATTATATATGTAATAATAATAAATATTCATGAATAATTTTCGGACAAAAAAAAAGAAGAATTAGAAAGAATACTTCTTCTATTATGATTTATATAACTGTCATTATATTCTTGGATATTCAGAAATTTTGGTCCAATTTGACAAATAACTTTCCTACATCTTACTCAAGTTACAATAATACAATTTGCTAACTAATCAAATTTGTATTGACATATTCACTCCAATTATTGCTAGAAAAATTACATAAATCATAAAATTTAAAATAATTATAAGTTTATATTTAAATTTAAAGTAGTTTTTGAAATACAACTCATACCCTCATTTAAATATATATATTGACTTAGTAATTAAGGAAATTGTTTAGGAATATATAGTGTAATTATTTTTTTATGAATATAAATATAAAGGAATATATATATTTGCAATTATTTTACTTTTATAAGGTATTTGCTTATTTTCCCTGTTATTCTAAAAACTATATTGTAATTGCTTTAGTTGGGCCTCGTGTTAAGCAATCTTGACAATGTATTGTCTAGCTCATCCATAACCCAACCCAACTCATTATTTTGTAAAGACAATGTCGATAAGGATGAGGGCGAGATAAATTTTGGTTCTAACTCAACTTCGAATTTTAGCTCATAAATTAAAGGGAAACTTTCATATATAGCAAATAAAAAATTTATATTTGTATGCTATAGCAAAGTTTACATAATTGCGCTCCGTAACAAATATAGAAACTGCATAATTCGTTATACATATATAGTTGAAGCAAATTGTATAAAACGAAGTGTATAAAACAAGAAAGAGAAAGACACTTGGGCAGAGAACTGTATAAAAATGAAGTGTATAAAATGAATTGTATTATTATAAGTGTATAGAACGATTATATACAATTTGAATTTGTATAAAATGAGAAAGAGAGAAAAACAAAAGAGACTTGACAAGGAATGTACAATTGAATCAAATTGTATAACGAGAAAGAGAGAAATTAAATACAATTTGAAAATTGTATAAAACGAGAAAGAGAGTGGAGGTGAGATCTGGAGAGGGGAACAAAAATATATGTATTTGTACAATTTTCTCTTCTTTATACAATTAGAAACAATTTTTATACACTTGTGTTTGTATAAAAAGTGAGGAAGCGAGCGATAGATTGGAGGAGAGTGGCGTCCGGCAATTTTTTTGCAAACGTTTGCTATGGAGCACAATTAAATTAAATCCTAACTACTCTATTTATTTCAGGTTATTAATTTGCTATTATATACAATTTTCCAAAATAAAATAGTATTTTCCAAGAGACAGCCCAACCCAACTCATTATTTTGAAGAACATTCCATCCATGGATCAGCCCAACTCATATTGTGAAATACATTCCATCCATGACCCAACTGAATTCATTAGTTTGAAAAACATTCTTTGTACAACCTAAAGTGTTGTCTACATATCCAAGGCCACTTCAACGTTTTATAATTTAAAGTTTTAATTCTGTCATTTCATAACTCCTATGTCAGGTATTATTTTATTTTGAAAACAGTCTTTCTATCTTAATAAAATAGCGATATAGCTATGTACACACAACTCTTTTAATATTCTACTTGTACAGTTTCTTTAAATATTTTATTATTAT